TCCGAGCACCGAAGTGCGATGGATACAGTTGCCACGACTCACATTGCAAGAATAACAAAAATAACACCAGTAGGATAGTGGGGTTGGGTGGAAATAGAATGTATAGAAAAGGATAGCAAGAAGGAAATGCGTTAAACTAATCAGAATGGAACGGAAATTAACAATCAGATGAAAGAAGCTGAATGTGGGAAGGCGACACACTTCGTGACTGTGCCATGTCTGATACGGTCTCTAACCATTGTTTTGGACAGTCCCGAGCCTCATATCCACGAAGACGGCAAATAGCAGTCTGACCAAGTCTATCATTCAATTTCCTCAAGCTTCTATGCCATGCCATGGACTGGCTACCTCGCGGTTTCGACTAACTTGGTGCGGCCACGGCGTATAATGCACACCGAGGAAGCCGACCAACGGGCATACGGAGGACATGGCCCATCCAACGCAAGCGATTAAGATGTGGCAAATACTCGAGTGAAGCACCAGAAGGCTTCTTGCCAAAAACCAGCTGGTGGACCTCAGCATTGCTCACACGGTGTTGCCACCAGAGATAAGCAATACTTTGCAAGCACCGGTGGTCAACCATGGCCAAGCGTTTAATACCTTCGCCGCGCACTGGCCAGATCTCTGATGCATGCAGTAAGACCGGCCTTACCACAGCGTTATACACCCTACCTTTCCTTGACAAGCTGATATAACATGGTCCCCATGGATGGTTGAGCCTCTGAAAAACGACACGGACCTTGATGATACGCGAAGTAACTTCCTTGGTGATGTGGTGATGTGTGTGTAATCTGACGGCACGGGTTAGAGCATGCGTAGGGTCAGGGCAACCCTCGCAATATTCTTAGCCCACGTGCGACGGGTAGTAATTGCGCGTCAGCGCACTTATAATTATAATTTATTTATTTATTTCATTAATTAATTTTTAATTTATTATTATTAAATATTATTATTATATATTATATTATTATATTATTATATATTATTATTATATTATTATTATATATTATATTATTATATTATATTATTATTATTAAGTAATTATAATACCTTTCCTCAAGGGACCAATAAGTCGTCGAATAATGATATTCGGTCAGCCTTCCACTTGGCAAGAACAGATGAAATCGTTGAGGTCCCGTCTAGCCGACGACATAGCCCTCATATGTGACAGCTTACAAACGTGCCAAGCAGTACTGCACAGATTGGCACCGGAATTCAGCCGATTTGAGCAGCGATTTGCACAGTCCAAATGAAAAGCTTTCCTTCAATATCGGCAGGGACCCAACCCGTGCTCACCCACGGTGGGAATCAGTTGGTTATCCTGAAGGTTTGAAATATGCGGTAAAATCCAATAACACCATTTCCGAAGTGATCGGTCCAGAGAGCATCATAAAGCAAACGTGCCTCATACATTTTTACCAAGTGGTCGGCTGGACATCTCAAGGATATTGGTGCACAACACATACTGAGGTAACAGTTATTGGGTATGAATTAGCTAGTGCGGACGGTTCGAGCTGACCAGACAACCCAGCGATGCGCCAAAGGAACTGAGAAACCACCGGATCTGGGTACAAGTCAACCGATGCTTCGCAGACACGTGGAATGGTGCTTCGGCACTGTGGTAAAACACGGTCAGTCTCTCACGGTCACGCAAGTGTTGTGCCTATGGTTTCGATACACACGTCTACGCACCTGTATCATACTTTGGTGGCTCTGTGATGTCCACGTAATTCAAATAAATGGAAATCCGACTGGCTTGCGCACGCACAAAGGGTGCATTGATCCTATTAACATACTTTTCCAAGCATCAAGGATTATAACACTACAAAATGGTTAGGTTGCTAGTCTTCGTTGATCGGATGCATCGGATCGCGTGCGGGCTCGGTATTACGCCGTTGTCCGCACCTACGCGTATCCGTACCGGGGACCTATGGATTACAAGGCAAGCGCGGAACCCCCTCGGTCACGAACAAACTTGAAGGAAGTGTTGATTCATTTGACTGAATATGTTAGTAATGAGACAAGTGTTTAAGCAGTGTGCTTGAGAAAATCCCGTGTCTTCAATTATCGAAATAACTCGACCCATGGACCATCGAAAAGTCACACGAGAGACTGACCCATACATTCAGTACGACAAGTGGAATACTCTAGGGGCGGCTCTATTCCATTTCCAGCTCCACCTTTGGGATTAAAAGAAGTGCAAATAGCTTTCGGCTCATTTCACTTCCTTCGTAAAGGCATCAACAGTAAGCCGGTACGCCATAACGACACTTCGCACCCGCGCAGCCCCACCAGTCGCACGTGGGCTATGGATACTGCGACGGTCGCCCGGTCCCTATGCAGGCTCGAACCCGCGCCCTCGGATTACAAAGCAGGCATGTGATCCTTAAGGCTAAAGACCGACCACTCCCATTGTGGTATAGGTTCTATCAACTTGCTCACCGTTAAGATGCGAGTACATAGACTTCAGTTGTACGTTCAGTGGACCCAATTGCTTAGCAAGAGATGAACGTTTTGGCAAGTGCCCCAAACTCCAAACTGAAGGTACTGTTACAGTAGTGCGTCAGTACACAAATCATGCTTGCATACACAGAATATACACTGGGTGCTCCATTTGTCATAGTACGGCAACTCAGTTCACTGTACTTTGATGCGTATGTCGAGGTGAAATGTAAAATGCTCCGGTTTGGTTGCTCGGACAAGTCTGTTCGTCTTATTTCATGTCTGCACAGTGGCATGTGGTCGAGGGTGACACTATGTGGACAGCCCTCGGGTGAATTCAATGTTACCGCTGGAGTAAGGCTGTGTCTGAAATCCTACCATGACAAATGTTTACCTGTCATAATGTTTTGTGCTTTCAAGGCTTGTGAATATGATGCCAGCCCCAATCATCGCGTCGATGGTGGGTTCCTGAACATCCATTATTTCGACTGGAAAAACCCAGTACGTCAGATAACCATGCGGATGCTACTGTTAGCTGACAACAGCATGTTATTTGCACACAGCGAGAATAACCTTCAACTCTTGTTGTGACTGCGGCCAAGTACAGACTCACCAGTAATGCAAGTAAGACTGTATTTTACAGCCGTCAACAGGAATACAATCTATGGACTGTCCACAAGTCAAGATTCCTGAAGAAGTGCAAAATTTCGACCCCTCAGGATCATGCTGTCAACAGACCAGCAGATGGCCAACGAGCTATGCACTTGTGCATTAAAGTCATGTGCGGCATTTGACACGTCGGGTTCGGGAGAAACATTACCTGGCCAATGGAACCAAATTGAATACATCAGGCAAGGCATTACAACCTATGAATGAATACGATGAAAAAAGAGAAAAAATCTGAAAAACTGTAAGCAAAAGGATGCGGTCTCACAACATATCCGCCATTAAGTGAGTGAGTGCCATCACCAAGATGGTTTCCAACCAGGCGTGCTTGGGACGTTGCGTTCCCAACGCTTTTAGAAGTGTCGACAGGTCAATCCTGCTTAATCAGCTGTCAGTGAATGGTGTTAAACCAGATGAGCAATTGCATGGCAAATCGACCGCATTTTACCCAGCTAAACGGTAAAATAGCATACACCCCTTGGGATGACTGAGACGTTTTACAAAAAGTAATCCTCTCATCCGTCTATTCGCATTATAGGTCAAAATGGTTCAAATTCCCCCAACTTTGTTGGCTGATGACCTAGAGCCAGGCAGCATTGTTCCCACTGCTGAGTCACCAACGGCTCTCCAAAACGGGATGGGTGGTCGTCGTCCCGATCTCTAATTCTCAACGCTTTCAAATGTCGTAATGTAACCTTCTCCTTACCCTGCGCTGAGAAACTTCGGATTTTGATAATTACCCTTTGCCCCACGGTCGAGATCGACTACGCCATACTCAGCAAGTCCATTGTTAAAAACCTTGAAGTATTTTTATCACAGGATCTATCATGGCCAACACATGCTGACAAAAAATTACGCCTAAAACTCCAAATGCTTTCAGTACATTGCTCTTAAAGGTACAGGTTCATGACTGTCTGCATTCATCTTAATTTGATGCACTGACAATCTGTCCTTTTGCCGGTCTTATACATCATCAACACTACACATCAGCTGAAGGTGAGAAACACACTCCGGCTAACTGTGCCGCAATACAAAAGATACGTGAGAAAGCGAGGTACTAAACATTACAGAAGACAAAAATCAGAAGACAAGTAATATAATGTTAAGTGTCGTAGTATCCATGCAGTGTGAGGTCCTGGTTGGAGGGGGAGGTACGAAGAAACTCGAAACATAAACGCAACTGTGGTCAGTAACTAGCGATGTCAACAACTGTACCGAACCAAACGTGTTCATCGTCTTTCGGACCCCAACCAGGGAGCCGAGAGGCTACAATTGAGGCCAACTTCAAAGAGACAGTCTTCACTCCTCTTGACCAAATCATCGCTTGGTCTACTCTTATCTTCTTCCATGCACAATAGCACCGCACAAACAACGCATGTTTCGGGAGTCGGTGTCATGCCCAACATGTAGCCCAGCCACCGGAGCCTGGTGCGTGATATGACGGTACCGAGCGATTCGCTCGTTCTTCCTGCTCCAAATATACGACGCCGAACACTCTCATTGCTCACGCTGTGTTGCGACCAGGCATGAGCTAAACTGCGAAGGCACCAATAGTCGAAGGTAACAAGCTTCATTAGGTCTGTCAATCTGATAGGCCAGGTATCCCAACCGTACGGAAGGGCTGAATGAAGGACTGTGTCATAAATTCTGTCCTTCAAAGAGTAAACAATGTCGCGCCGATGCCACGGCTAGCGGAAATTGGCAAAAGCACCTCGCGCGACACGAATGTCGGTGGCTCGCAGCGTCTGTTAAGCTATGCTGCTGCCTGAAAATGGTTGGTCAGTAAATGGAATCGTCAAAATAACTGCTTCAACATCATGAAGGTCATAATCGCGGATAAGATGAGTGTGCATGGCAAATGAAGTGTGCCCAAATCAAAGAATGAAACCTACTCATCAGAAGCATGCCGTTCGAAGTCAGAATCCAGCTCTATATCAGCATTTTTAGCTGCGTGCGCGAACCAATCCTCGTTGGCAGCCCGACGATTGACTGAGTGTTCGATATGGTCCAATTGTCTGGCCATTGTGACGATGCGGTCGGAAGCAACGAGTTCAAAGTAAGAGGGTACAACGGGGAGATCAGGCAAATCCATTTCTGTGGATGCAGAAGGAGAAATAAGAGAACAAAATTGCAGATGGAGTCAATGAGTGGTCTGCTGGAGTCAAAGGATGCACGACTTTAAAACAATGTTGGACACGATGCTTTACACAAGCAGGAGCAGAAAATACGATGAATGACATTGTCACGGGTGGATAGTTCGGTCGAATAAGCATAGGTCGCAGTACAAATTAAAAGAATAAAAAAGTAAAGGCCAAAAATAAATCGCTCAGTTTGTCAGACGAATGAGGCATAGAGCAGCCTGTGTCATATTTTAAAGAGCTTCAAGCCACCGACGAAGTCCATCCGCGACTCGATCCATGCCATCGATCCTTTACATTGGAGGTGCAAGTTTGAAGCCGACGTTAGACTATGACAGGCAATCTCAGTCAAGACCGCCATTCTCTTTGTGGCAAAGATCGGAAAACTCGTTCACTGCGACCACATCTGAAACAGATATGGATCAAGTGTCGTCCGCCGCTACTTGGTGGTTCTGGATGACATCACAAAGGTCCCAGGTTCTAGTTGCAGTCCTGCTAACTCTACCTGTCGAGTGCAGATAAGTTGGCAACGGGTGCTGCGAACGGGCAACACCTAGCATTAACCTGTCGGCTTTTATGCACTGCGGTCTCAGCAACATGGCAAAGAATCGATATACAATGAATTAAGACAGAATATAGATGTAAAGGAGTGCAAAAGAATCTCAACGATACATTTGAGTGTGGATTCTAGATAGCTTTTTTCTCGAAATCAGGCAGTCGAGCATGGAGGGCGGAGGCGATATGAAGGTGCTGATTAGCAGTAATAAGAAGTTGGCTAGAAAAAATGCGAGTACGACCGGCCGGAACAGGCACGGAGTATAATGAGTTCCCAGACACTAATCAGTAAAGTGAGTGGCAGTAAAAGAAGTGCCACCAAGAGTAATTGTATTGTCCCAGACATAATGTGAATCATCGCGGCTGGCAAATTGCGAAGTGATGGTACTCAGCTGACGGTCGCAAACAAAAAAGAAGACGGAAAACTACCCCACTAAACTGCCTGACTTTTCGAAATGAGGTTATAAATTACAGTCATCATATCTTACGTGAAACAGAAAGACAACGGTAGTAGCTTTTAGGAACCAAAACAAATCGCAAATGCGGAATATACAACTAAATTCGGTGATGCATCTAGGTTAAGTCATTGTAGCCAACATCAAATCGGTTGACAAAATAAAAAGATTACAAACAGGCAACCAACGACTGCTATGAGGTCAGCAAGAGGTCAATAAGGAGCCAAATATGAAGTGGCGCAGCACAAAGCAGACATTAACATTTGCTAGCTCGCAGGATAGACCCAAAGGTGCTAACCCCACAATGCTAGGGACAGATCGGTGGCGAAGAGAAACATGCAAAATACACCAATAACGAGCATGTTAACGAGCTCACCGGTTCGTTTGAGGCTGAAAGCAACGCGCTTCCACAAAGAGAATTCGTTGGGACACTCAAACAGCACACTGGTCCCAGCGCGATGAGCACGGGCAGTGCGACCGCTTCGATGAACGTAAACCTCTGCGGTGCGGGGAACATCGAAATGGACAACCCAAGCGACACCGCCACAAGAAGCATCCACGGCAGCCAAATCAAGGCCACGCGATGCGACATCACTCGCAATGAGAATGCTGTTAGAGTCAGCTGAAAAGAGGAATACCCGAGACATGCAGCTGATAAAGCAAGTCCTGAGCCGTGCATCCACCAGTTAGTGGAACACAAATGAGAAGTTTGCAAAAATATGACGCATGTAAATCCAGGAATAAAGGCAATAAGATAGATTGACAATAAAAGTGCCTGGGAGCAATCAGTATGGGGCCGCGACGAGGAGTGCAGTGTTAGTGACAGACGGTAACGGCAAAAAAGAAATGCTTAGGTACGTGTCGCAAGGGGTTCTTGAGGTGAGCTTTTACAACCTAGTGACAACGAACAAACAACAGTACAAGTCAGTTGAACTGATGCTTCGCTGCTACACAACCATGATGAACTACGGAATAAAGAACAATAAAAGGGAGAGAAGGGGATTTACCAGAAAACCTTAGCGCCCTGAGCAAACATTCAAGGCCAAGACGCCTAGACGTTGTGTTAACGACATATCGTCAAAAAAAGCTGGCGGCATCCGCGAGACAGCTTCCTTACAGCTTTCACTGCTGCGCGTCATAATCAGCCAATAGCCAGCAGATAACTCAACACCAAACACACACTAAACAGGCAGTTCGAGTAGGAGACGGCAGCAGACGCGCCACTGGTGTCGATTGCGAGCCATGTCCTGTAAAGTCGCGAACAAATCACAAGGCGGGTCACCTGGATTCGAACTAGGAAGGCGGGTGGACCGATGGCACCACTTGTGGTTATCAGGGTTCATTTCATGCTACCAAATCAAATTTTCCCTACCTCGAGAATCGCGTTACCTATATCTGGCAGATTAAACAAGATCCTCCTAGGTAAGCGGTGACCGGGCATACATAGCACGTATCCTAGTCAACGCAACTTATTCAGTGCTATCTGTTGCTCCAAGGAACTAGCTTGGTTATCACTGCCTAGTACTCTCCTACGCACATCATCGTTGCAGACACGCAGGGGCCATCCGACACCAACAATGCTACACACACAACGATAATGAAAAACTTGAAGGCGTCTCAAATCCTTAGACGGAAGAGGCCAAGTCTCACTCCCACAGAGCAGAACGGCCCTCACTGTGGTCTTGTATACAGGGCCTTCCAGACGGAAGCTCCCTCCTGTCGCCAAAGATGCCGCAGGTTCAAGAAGGCAGTTCTGGCTTTTGTAATGCGTGAACTGACTTCAGTTTCTGTGCGCCCATCGTTGTTGATGCAGCTGCCAAGGTAAGTGAATCGATGAAAAAACTCGAGTTCCTCGTTATCAAGGATCTAAGGGTCACCAATTGGCTGGTGGTCCTGCAGCAACTCTGCATTTTAAGGATGCGAAGCGCATACCAAATGATGGGACCAGTCTAGACAGATTATTCAGTTGATTGTGTTGCACAACAACGTTAAAAAGCAAGAAGATATCGTACGCAAAATCAAGATAACCAATCTTTCACCAGGCAGTACTGGAAGGCCTACATCGCGAGATTCCGTAAGCGTACACTCCATGATGGAGTTCACGACGAAATTGAAATAAACGGGGAAATCGAACAAAGCTGAGAAACGCCACTTGTTGTCGGAAAGACATCCGACAGGTCACCGTAGATTCTGACGCGGCCTGTAGTGGGAACACTATTCCAAGCAAGTATTTCGAACAGAATGCATCGATCGACTGAATCGAACGCACACGTGAAATCGAGGAACACAGCTATTGTCGGTCTGCAGTATGCGTGGCGCTGCTCTAGCACCTGCCGCAGAGTGAACATATGGTCTATCCAGCCACGTCTTGGGCGGCAACCTGCCTGCTCTCCCCTAATCCGGGAATCCCGTTCCACAGTGAGGCGACGAACGAGAATTGAGACCAGTAATTTTGTCACAAGTGGCGTTACGCTAATACCCCTGTGATTAGAACAGTCTGTGCGACTGCCCTTCTTGTACATTGTCACTATAATCAATCCACTCCAGTTAGCCGGGACACTCGCTTCCTTCCAGATATATTCGAATAGCGAGGTCAGTGCTTTGCAGAGGACGTCACTTCCCCCATTAAATATTGTAAGTGGGAGGGAATCCGGGCCAGCGACACGAAAACGATCGAAGGCCGCGATCCCGTCTCGGACCTCAGCCTCCGACAGGGGCTCTAACCTAACCGTCCATGGCACGTCCTGCATTACCTGAATAGGAAGAGGTGCATGACCAGGGGTCAACTGAACTGATCTTGAAAGTATTCCGCCAAACGATCCACACGGCGCTCCTTATTGTGTATCCCTGCACCCGCACTGTCTCTGATTGTCTCACTGACGCCTGGTTTCCTGGGACTAGTGGTGCGGGTCAGCTGAAAGAGCCTGCGATAACTGCCTACTGCTCCTGCCTTCTCTATTAATTGAGCCCGACTGGTCCACCAGACTTCCTGGTCAGCACGCAGACTCCGCTTTAGTTCGCGCCTACTAGTCCGTCTGGTCACATTGTGCTCAGAGCCAACCGGGAGTTTTCTACTGAATTCCAAGAGGCTCACCGACTTCTCGGATATCCAGTGATTGGTGAGGTGACGATTGATATTGCCACTAGCAGAGGCTCCTTCGTCGTGCATGGCGGCCGAGATCCTATTCCATTGAAGCGCAGTCATTAGGACAAGAGAACGAAAGTTCGGTACGCAGTGCGTCTTGATAGGTTTGCCTGACTGAGGGCTGAGACAAACTTTCAGTTACTAATGAGTAGAGGGATTTGGGTATGATTCGGTTTGGTTCATCGCAATTAGATTCCAAGCCGCATAGGTAAGCTACCAATCGAGAAAAGCAGCAGACGCGGGTTTCGCCCTATTAGGGCTCGTCAGTGGTGCACATCTATCGGTCCCCTACTGGGGATCGAACCCATGACCGCCAATCAGGGGAAAGGTTTGGTGCGCCTCCCGGTAGAGTACATGGAGAAACAATAACGTACAAAAGCATAATCAGAATCAATGTAAGTATTCCAAAACGAGCGCTAGGGAAGTTTGCATCACCGTACTTTCTTCCTACGGACCGATATCGAGCCGCTAGCTGGATATCTTAGCAAAACTTATGAGTGTAAAGAAATCGACATAAGCTGTACTATAGAAGGCAATGGATTTAATGGTAGAGGTAATGCAATAGGCAACCTGGCGGTGCTAACTGTGACGACCATGGGCAAATCTAAATAGGTGGTGTTGAATAAGTAGCGCAAAGCGGATTGAAGAGACAAAACGCAGTAAGAGAAGAAAACCCGGGAGTAAAACCCAGATATCAACTCGTGAGCCATCTCACTGTCTATTTCAGAATATGTGGCTGGATTACGAACATGACCCGAACGTATGCGATCAGTGGCGCGTATTCAAAAACGGTAAGCTCTAATTGCGTATGCTCCAAATCCATTTGCTTAGACTAAGGATGCCGGTTTTGTTTAGTGTTCGCACAACATTGATATTTCTGGAACTCCTAGTTTTATATTCGTTTCCAAATTAGACAGTTCGTGCTTTTGCACGCTAAATTTTGTCACAGGATCAAGCTCGCCTTTAGAGAATGAGTTTCTTAAATATCAACACGAACTGCAATAAGTTAGTATGACTCCAAAAAGACCTACCCGCATTTGAAAAGCGAAGAGTAACTTAAGTGGAAATAATGCACAGAACAGAAAGGACATTGGGCTCACAAGTTGCCATCTTAAAGACAACAGTAGCTCATTCGAACAGAGACTAACGGAAATGGAACAAACAGTTTCCGACATGAACATTGATAGATCATTTGGTACATTTAGAATACATTACAAACCAATCAGGGAAATTGGATCCGGTTCAAATGAAGAGCATGACGACTTATTACTTGTGTGGCGCTATCACCAATATTCCTGATAAATTTAATTTGGATAAAGTAAAGGCTACATGATTGAGCGCTTGCGACATGTTCGAGGTCGAATGTAAATGTCTGCGGCCGAGAAAGAAAGCATCAACGCAGTGTCGCCCGCTTATATTCAGATTTTCTAGTCAAGAATCCGCACATGGTTTATAGACAATGATGGCTCGCCATAGCCAAGGGCAGACATATTGAGTAAACCTGATCGGATACCTCTGCAAATATCCCTTCTTGAGTATACGGCAAGAACGCCGAAAGCAGAGCAAAAACACAATCCGACACCCCAATCAGTGATAGGGGGAGTTACATTAAATTAGACCTCAATAGCATATAGCTCGAGGTGACAACATCAAGTACTTTTGCTTCCAATGCCAGCACAACGTCTTATAACAGAACTCGGTCTTTTAGAAACAGATGATTTATTCAGTAGAGCAATCCTCGCGAAACCGACAGCCCAACTTGACTGTAGAAAGCCTCGATGGATGTACTTAGGCCGCTTCCATGACGAACGAGGTAACTGCATTCATGAGATTCGTCCTTTCCTTCGGTCGACTAATCTTACTCCAGTGCAACCAACTATGAACAAGTCTAGATGCGGAGACCTGTAGAAGTCAATTGCCCTGTTCGTTTGCGGCAATCTAGCTGTTTGCTTCGTCACGTAAAACCGCTTCGCCCATCTGATGTACAGTCCCATCACAGCCCCCATCAAACCAGTGAACAAAGGGCATCAAACTAAGGCGTCAGCATGAGGAAAAGTAAGCAAGAGCCCAAATAACAGGCCAATGGTCGTAACAGTCAAGGCAAGTCCCCACCGATAATTGAAAACACGATACTTTCACCTACGGGCAACTCGTTTGAAGTAAAGACTGGTGGCTGCAAAGAATCTCTAACTTCACAAACATCTAATGCATTTTATACTTCTAGTAAAGCACCATCTCAACCCAACAACACTACATACGTCCCCAAACCGATCGAAAACGGGAAAAATCACATTCTGGATAATGTTGCTTACCGTCTTTTAGCTATTATCAAAAATTAGTCGAGGAAATGCTAGCCGCAAAAAAATACTGGACAATCCTGCCCCCGTCCCTCCTCTTATACTTAGAAGGCCGCAGTTTCCTACGGCCATTTTAAGGGAAGCGCGGTGAGTCCCAATAATGGTACATCCGACAGAAGCCAACTACATGGTCCCAGTGTTACTACAATTTATCAGACCAACGTGGACCCAGTCGTGATTTGCACCACACGCCTCAACATCTTCCTTGCTTTCAGGTCTACCAGAGATCACAAGAGATACACTGTCCATACCCCAGCAGACAAGACAGAGTCACACCTATAATCACCTTCCCTGCCTATAGATTACCGTCCTAGTACTTCTGATAACCCGACACAATTACCGAGCACCTGACCACTAATGCAGCTTAAAGATCTGCACCACTGTTTCAACAGGCACGAGAATAGTCTAACTAATGACAATCTAGGCATATCGTACTGTGTGAAGATGCTAGCTTATAACGCGCAAGCACTCACTATAGACAAAGCACCGGCCGTAAAATAACGTGGAGTCTTGGTGCAGTGAGAGGAAGGGTGGCCAACCGATGGTTGGTGCAGAGGAACAAAGGCCTTCGCTACACCCATAGCTTGTGTTAGTTCCAGAGTTTGTGAGGGAAAGGTGATTATCACGTTTACTTGTATACATTTGTCTGCACATCGACGAGGCGATTTTAATAACGATGGTATTGTGAGGTTCCTTGTCCTTCACACTCCAACATAGCCCCCTCTCCAACCACGGTCGTACTGCTGATGCGCAATAGGCACAGTAGTATTTGTATTGTTTCTGTCTTTGTCCCGGTTCATTTTACGACTATTGAGTCGCGGCACATGATCGATACACTTTTTGGCCTGCACCCCACTTATGTTGATTACTATCGTTCCTTTCACTGCTTCCGGGACCGCACTGCGTTACAAAATGTTGATGAAATTATTATCATCAGTGCACGGTGCATTTTCGTAGAAGTATCCGGTTGGTGTCTGGAGCAAATGGAACGAAATTTCTCGCTATTAGAAAACGCAGCGTACAGTGCTGAAAGAAAACCGTACATAATGATCGGACCAAGTTCGCTGGATCGTGTCTCGCTTTAAATATATATTATTATTGTTATCATTATGACGTCGTTGAATGCCAGACGTAACGTATCCACAAAAGTGCCAATAATTTGTGACACTTCCCTCACTTCTGGGCTGGCCTCGGTTGGAGCGTCTCGGCTCCCTGGTTGCGGTCCGAAAGAGGATGAACACGTTTGGTTTGACACACTTGCTGATATAGCTAGGAGCCGACCTCAGTGGCGTTCATGCTGTGAGTTTCTTTGTCCCACCCCATCCCTTTTAGCCTCCCCCTCCAACCACGATCTCATTATTTAACCTTATATAATTTTGTATAGTAATTTTTTGATGCATAGTAGCCGGCTGGTAGCTCACCGGAACGATGCCCATCCGTTACCGGTAGCTCAGTCGGCTTGCCCCAGTTGAATTCTTTTTTTCGCTCCCTTTTTCTGTGTATTGCGGCACAGTAGCTGAGGTGCTCCCCACCTCTAGCTAACGTGTATGATGATGATGACATCCGTTTCCGTAGTTTACGGCACGTATGAGCACTCACAGTAAGTCTGCGACCATACATAAACCGCGGACAACAGACGCACACACATACACACACGCACGAATGCAGTGTAAAGTTGGCGGTGGGGTGCATGCCATTGGGAGCCATGGTGCCCCGCATTCCTTCAACCCGCGGAGCACACATGGATGGATGATTCCACGTAAGTGCACCATGCGATCAAAAGAATGACCATAATTTGCGGACGCAACGCGTAGGCGTACTCACAAGTGTACGAATCTGGTTCGTGTGGGATCTGCACTTGCTACCCTCGGAGTGAAACAAAAGTAGGAGGAACGTGTATCATGGCCTTGGATGAGCAGCATTCAGTTCTATGATGGAACCACTCACAGGATCTAGTAAGGTCACGAAGACTGGACGTGCATTGAGTCCGACAACCATTAGCAGTTCCCGGAGTCTGTGGACAGGAAGAAAGTACCTCGACGTAAAATGAGGTTACAAGTGCCAGCAAACGAGCAATGGTAAAACAGGTAGGACAGGCCCAAAGACCGGTTAGCGACTTAGCTGGATACCTTGAAAACGATCCAGAGCTCGAAGACGTTGTTTCTGGAGCATATCGGAGTGTAGGACGTTAACAAAACGCACCGACGGATGACCAGATACGCTGAAGGTATCAGCCTTCAACAACTGACGCAACACACCCGCCAAACGACGCACACCAGACTTGCTGTTCAGGAAGATGAGACATCTCTGACTGTCCGTTGTGGGAATATTCTCTGAAACAGTATACCGTCCGAATGCAAGAAACCAAAAAAGACGGACATCCTTAGATGGTTGGTCAGGGCACATCAATCGATATTCGTGCAGACGACCAGGGAGAACAGGTACATCCGATAGAATCGAGATGGATGCATTGTCGGGAGTCTGGGCCAACGAGAGATCGAAAACCTTAGCTCGCTTGTTCAAGCCCAGCAATTTGCGCAATGCACCTAAAAGAGAAAGTAAGTGAGAAGTGCGTCAAGTTCCGTTGTACAAACGGCGAGGTAGCAAAACTGGAAGACAGGTACAGGACGGAAAAATAGCGCATGATCACACTAGTAATAGGCGCACTATTAAAAAACCCAGCAGTAGGGTACTCATTTCCATTCACTGTTGGACATAAAACAAGGGGCGAGACACCTGTTGTGCTATGATCATACAGACACTGGACTGATTATAATTTATTAGTATAAAAAGAAATCAGCGGTATTAGTGACAACTAAAAACGAAGCGGCAGTACGAGTTGGTGATCAAAAATATAGAAAGTGACCCATCGAGAGCACGTCAGCATCGTTAGATGCTATTCCGCTTATAGACAGAGGGATGAGTCATAAGCTTAAGGGATTAGGTGAAGAGGAGACAAAAAGAGGGTGTTAAGCATTCAGTGCCATGGCGTGATACCGAAGGCTGGCTTGCGGAACAACTACCTCGTGGCGCCAACTGGGTGGTTCGGGATTATCCCGTTCCAACGAATTGTTCGGCGGCAGTATTCTAGGACGCGGTGGGTTTTCGCCTGGCAAGCGTTCGCTCTATAAAAAGCCACATATGTCCGTTTAACAACACTGTGACGTGATGGTATGACTCACCACTAAATAAAGTCACTGCCCCTTGCCTCTTTCGGAGTGGCATTGTAATTCAAGGGTGTGTTGGGCCCCTGGTCCTATGCGGTCCTAAAGGAGTATGAACCACTTGTTTGGTCACCGGCTCCCAACGGGTTGAGATACCCTCATATCGCCCTGCTGCCTTGTAGGTTAGATCCTTGATTAAAGGCTCGGGGTGGGGCCCCTTAAGACAACCCCCTACTTCGGCCTGGGCAACCGGGTAGTATCTCGCCTACTAACGAACCATGGACTTACAAGCACAACCATTCACTCGCGTTCTTGCTACTACGATGCTATACACTCATGTTACCATGTCAACTTCACAAGCACACACCACCATTTTATCTACCCTTCCCTTGTACCATTTAAACCCATTTTTACCTGATTCCTCTTTGGCGATCAACCCCACCTACACCGATGAACCTGCACCAGTGACATCTGCCAACTCAACCACACAGGGCTCAACAGAGCTGCCAGTCCCAAAGTCGCGCATCTTCGCTCCTGCAACCCGGAACGCAGTTCAAACTTGCAGCCTTCAAAGTACGCACATTACTGCAGATTGGTCAGCAAGCTGGACTTGCACGCACGCTAGAGACCATTGGAATTGATATCGGCTGCCTGAATGAAACACGAATCTAGGACGCTGACTCCGCCTACCAGCTGGCGTCACCGCTCCACCGACGCACCCGCTCTCATCTCCGCTTCACTGGTTACGCCGAGTCTGCCGCATCTGGGCAAGCTGGTGTTGGAATCGCCCTGTGCTAGAGCCGTGACTGCTTTGATTGACTGGATTTCGAACAATGGTCGCCTTTGTGCGATGAGGCTCCATGGCCCATGTAAAGTTAGCAGACGTCAAGTTGAAAAGCGTGCTCTCTTTGTGATCTCTGCCTACGCGCCCACTGACTTTAGCTCGGACACAGTTAAAAACCAGTTCTACCAGAACCTTCATGAGCTGCTCCTAAGGGCTCCTAAATTAGACATCATTATTTTGGCAGGCAAGTTCAACGCGAGTGTCGGTCGTCTGCTGCCATGTGAGCGCCACCTCGGGGGACCGCATGGCTATGATGATGTTCGCGCAGACAACGGAGATGGACTGCTCAGTCTGTGTGCTGATTATTAGCTATTCCTCTCCAGCACCAGCTTTCGTCATCCTTGACGCCAGTACGCCACTTGGCACCCCCCATCATCCACCCAACAGTGTTCACAGATTGACTACATAGCTATAAGTCGCAGGTGGCGCGGCAGCGTACGAGACTGCCGGTCATTTTGGTCAATATGCGTCGATACCGATCATGCACTGGTATCTGCGACCGTTTGCATGCGTTTCGGTGGTTCGCCTAGGTCAAAACCACACCTGGCTGAACACGTACAAGTTGGAGGACCCAATGGTGAAGAAGGAGTATCAACAAAGACTTCGTGAAAATCTCGCTCTCACTCTAGATTTTGATCAACGCTGGTCAAGTCTGCAACAAGCCTTGCTGTCGGCCGGTTTGTCCAACTGTGGCCTCGATCGCCCAATGCCAAAACTTAGATCTCAAGATCCTCGAAATTGCTAGATCGCCGACGGGCAGTGCCTGCTGACGCAGAGTACAACGAACACCGCCGGTCTATTACGCAACGGTTGAAAGCAAGCCATTCGCTCTGATCGTGAACCTTGGTGGTCAAAACAAGCTGATGAGATGGAAACCGCTGCATCAGCTGGCAACTGCCTCCGTCTAGTTTGCATCATCAGGGCCACCGGTTGCAATTCCCACGCTATCAGCCAGAGGATTTGCGAATCAGACGGCACGAAGATCAGCAAACCTTCACAGACGATTGGGTCGCTGGACAGAGCATTTCGCTCTTCAATTCAACCACCCAACACAGCACCCTGTGGTACCTCCAACCCCAACGGATGATGCTTGGCCTGTCTCCACAGTCCCTCCAAATGAAGCGGAGATCCGAAATGCAATCCAATCTTTGAAACGCCACAAGACTCTGGGTCCCGACAGCCTACCACCGGCTCTATTCAAAGATGGCGGGAGTGTACTTGTCAGCGAAATCCTATCGCTGTTCGCAAAAGTTTGGACTAAGAAGTTTCCGAACTCATGGGGAGAATCGGTCATTGTTCTGATTCACAAAGACTCCCGCGACGATTGCTGCAACTACCGCGGAATCTCCCTAATCTCTGTCGCATCCAAAATCTTCGTGTCAATCCTACTTGGCAGGCTTTCAACGACTAGAGAGGAGTTTTCCCGAGAACAAGCCGGATTTCGTCCAGGCAGCGGCTGCATCAACCAAATCTTCACGCTTCGCCAACTTCTCGAACTCCGTCACATCTACCGGCGGCCAAAAATCGTAGTGCTTACGGACATCCGAGCGGCATTTGATTCAGTAGGTAGATCTGAGTAGTGGAACTGTTTACTTAAGGTGTGCCCGACAAGTTTGTAACCATCCTGAAAGAACTTTACAGTCAGACGTCGGGCAAAGCCAGGGCTTACGGCACGCTCTCCTCTTCATTTGCTGTGACCAGCGGTGTTCGCCAAGGTCGCCCTATTTCACCGTTCCTCTTCAATTTCGCCATCGAAGATGTCCAAAGAGCACTGGAAGGTGTCCAGAACTGCGGTGTTGAGCTCCGCACTGGAGATAGAGTCACGGACTTGGACTGCGCCGATGATATCACCTTGCTGGGGGACGACCCACAAACCGTCCAGAGCGCTATGGACCGCTTAGTGATGGAGGCGTCTAAGTACCTCTTATGGTTCCCCCCGGGAAAATGTAAAACGCTGCTCCAGGACTGGCAAGTGCCTGGACCCGTGCTCACCATTGCTGGACATGTTCTGGAGCAAGTCCCTTGCTTTACGTATCTAGGGAGTTGCATCACGGCTGGTGGCGGTGTTGGAGATGAAGTCTCACAAGGGATTGCAAAGGCCTACCTTGCATTCATTAAATTGAGACACCTATGGCGTTGTCGTGATGTCAATCTCAAGCTCAAGGGCAGGGTGTACAATGCTTCGGTCCGTGGAGTACTCCTGTACGGCTGTGAGACGGCCTATTCGCTCGGAAGACATGAAGCGGCTGTCAATCTTTGACAATCGCTGGCTACGAAGGATTGCTCGGGTGTAGTGGCAACACCATGTAAGCAAGGCAGAGGTGCGAGACCGAGTGCTTGGAACGAGTAGTGCCAATCTTCAGAACGTTATTCTCCGACATCGCATGCATTGGCTCGGGCATGTTTTGCGCATGCCAGCCTATCGCCTTCCACGTCGAGAGCTATTTGCACTCCCAGGGAGCGAATGGGAAAGTGCCGCGGTAGACAGCCAATGACGTGGAGGAGCATGAAGAAGGCAACTTCAAGTTTGGCGGCAGTCGGACCAATCTGTCTCCTAGGTTGGGGACCAGGAGGTGCTGAATCTCAGTGGTTGGAAACATTGGATGTGATGGCCCGTAAAAGACATCAGTGGCATCAATGTGATTCTGCCATTTTATCCACCCTTTAATAAATACAAAAACAAAAAAAAGCAAAATGGCGTATGTAAAAACAAAAAATCGCCTCCCCTTTTTTAATCGCAGTTCGTGTTTCTATCTTCTCCACTTTTTTCCTCCCATGGTTCTGATGGCACAGTGTCTGTTAACATACTGTGAATATATATATATATATATATATATATATATATATATATACGTGATACCGAACGGCCGGGTTATCTCTGTTCACCCAATCAAGTAGGAAGAAGAGTAGCAAACACAGGATAAAAGTGGTACGAAATTTATAAGAGGCAAATGAAAAACGAGTAGCTTTCGAGCCTAATTCGCACCAACAGACAGGGTGCTCAAGGCGGGAAGAGAGGCCTCGCAGTACGACCGCGTTTGCGTAATTGAAATACGGTGCGGATTCACTTTACTTAAGTGAGATGAAACGAGTAGTAAATTGCATTGCGTCCGTGTTGTAACGCAGCTTTTCCACAGCTCTCTGTTACGCCAACCCAGCCGAGGAAAAAACAGAAGACCGAAACCTCGTAGATCGAAGCGTAATATGCACAGAACACGGTGCATTTTGTAGGTCACAATCTATCATCTCCTGTTGTAAGTTCCTGAGCTGACTCAAGCCACTTGCCCTGGACAGATTACAAACCTGCTTGCTCCCTGTCACGTAGTAACGTGCTTCATTCTGACGGTCTGATTTCATCAGCTTTCCGCGTGACTTAGCCGTGTTACCGCCGCTCGGGTAGTAATCTGCGTGATGATGACGAACTGATTTCATCAGCTTTTGGCGTGACTCAGTCCTGGTACCGCTGGTTGGGCAGCAACCCGTGTCCCGATGACAGGCGTCTCGAAACCGTGTCACGTTCTTATGCTGGAGCCATCGA